ACTTATTTGTGGAAATTTGTGGCAGTGTGAAAGCCGGACTCACTTAACAACCAGGTTACTAATTTAACCACTGCTGGGATTTACTTAAATGTGGCAAGAAAAATAGTAAAATAGGGCAAAACTCACTTAACAAAATTCTCAGCAACATAAATTCTGGGCTCATTTGTAGTCGTAAATCGAGGACTACCTATATTTGCCTCATCTCAGAAATCATAAACTGTGGCTAAAANAAGGCCTTATAAAGTGGTATTAACACTTCAGGTGATCTTGATTCTATCCCTCTGTTTATGCAGCCTAGAACTGTGTTGGCTTTTTTGGCAGCTGCCGCACACTGCTGGCTCATATTTAAATGGTTGCCCACTAGGACTCCACTTGGTTTGTCAGAAGGTTGTAAAGCATGACCCCGGGATTTTGCAACTGTCATAAGTATGAGTCAGTTGCCAAGCATCTGAATTTCGATCATGTGATCCTGGGGACTGCAACAACAGTCGTAAGTGTGAAAAACGGTCGTAATTACAACAGGGCTGTTGTAATTTTGAACGGTCACCACATGAACTTTTGTTAAGTTGAGAACGACATGTATACTGCTTGACAGCAAAACTCACTTAAATGTTTCACTTAGCAACGGAAATGTTGGGCTCATGGTCGTACGTCGAGGGCTACCTGTATTCAGACCTATCTAAAAGCTGAACACCAGAGGAACACTCGTTTACTTGGCACACACTGCCAAGTTTTTTTCAATGTCCTGATCTGGTGAAATCCCACAACCGGAGCGGTTTTTTTTTTCTCTGTCTCAGCAAATTTGAGATGTGAGAACTTCAACTCCCAGAATTCCCCAGCACGATACTGAAGAAGCAATCTTCCCCTTTTGGACAAAGGAATGGGGGGGGGGGGAGGAAGTTATTGCTTAATCTCCAGAGCAAACACAAAAGGAGAAGAGGAGACTGGAAAGAGGAAGAACCAGGCAGGGGGGGGAAAAAAAGCAGAGAATGCAGAAAGTGGAACTGGGGGACCAATCCGACCTTCAACAGTTCTTTCATTTCATTCTATTGCTTGTTATGTTCTAAGTCTGTAAGATAAAAAACCAAGCTGCCTGCTAATTACTTTTGGTCAACCATTTTGAATTTGGTTGGGGGGGAATTTCAGCTAAAGAATTGGGTTGTTCTGACTGAGGCTTCCTGAGAGCATGAAGCCAACTCCTTGTCCTTTATTAATTTACTGTGAATTCATTCACAGCCAGCAAAGTCTTTCAGGGGAGGATTTACAGTCACAGACCTTATCTGGCTTGGAGAGCTGCCAGGCNGATGCCATATTCCAGGTGTGGCCTTACTAAGGGTTTATAAAGCAGTACTAATAATTCACGTGATTTTGTTTCTGTGCCTCTATTTATACAACCGAGGATTGTATTAGCTTTTTTCGCTGCTGCCACACACAGCTGGCTCATGTTTATGTATTCTAAAGACACGCTGCTTGCCAAGTGCCCACATTTTTGCTCACATGACCACGGATGTGGCAACGGTTATAAATGCGAGGACTGACTGGAAGTCACTTTTTCAGCACTGTCACTTGAAACGGTGACTAAAGAAATGATTCTAAGTCAAGCGCATCTCGTTTTTGTTCCAATTCTGCTGTTAGGGCTGCCTTGGTTGAAAAGGGGAAGTTTCTGTTTCCCTTCAGCCTCGGTTCATACTGACATCTGCGACTTCCGCCATCTTTTCCCTGGTTACAGATGACTTGTGGGAAAGAGGATCTTTGAATTTAATTGGCACAGTATTTTTAAATCTGAAATGCTCTGAACATCAATGAGTACATATGTCGGGCTGGCCTGCACTGCAGAACAAATACTAGTTATACCAATGTTGTATTTTTCTTTCCTCGGTTGCATTTGACCATGTTTATTTATATTCTCAATGTTCCACCCCTGTCAAATGGGAATATTTACGGATCAGCTGCAGAAAGGAGCAATTGTGAAACCCTTTTATGACCTAAACTTCCCCAGCAGCACGAAGCCGAGTCCTCGTCCCGATAAACCCCTTTTATTTAATTTACATTGAATTTCTCTTCAGCAAAATTCCCGGCCCACAGTCCGTCAAGATAGTTCAAAATCACCGACTTTATCAGGCTTGGAGAGTGGCCGGGCCGGTATCTTTCAGACGCCTGCAATACTTGGCAAGAATGCAGGAATGAACTAATTGTCTCCTGCAAACTCCACTCCCCCTTCGCTCCTCTTTTATTTCCCCTGGGAGGGGCCATATCATCGTCCACCTTGGGCCTTACTCCCAAGTCGACCCCTGTTCTTTAGCTGTTCCCTTTGTCTGGCANGAGGATAGAAAATTTCACAGCTATTATTGTGTGAAGTAGGTTGATCTGAGACAGAGACTGTATTGTATCACCTAAGAAACCATAAACTATCGCTTACAAACCATGAGAAAACAGGCATTTAAATCCTTTCCTCCCTCCTTCAATCCCCAACACAGTCCATGATGGGCACATAATCCCACCAGCCCACCAGGATGAGGATTAACCTTGAACCTAAGTCTCTATGCTCTTGGTTAACATCTTCCCTTCCTACATTTTTGCCCACAACTTCCGTTATCGTTTCCTTTCTTCCCACCAGAGAAAGGAGAAAACCATAAAATAGTGATAACAGCAGTGAGAAGTCTTTGATCTCCCAGGTGGTGGTGTTTCAACTGCCAACAGCTGCAATTAACTGGCGGGCTGGCATCTAGACTCTTCAAAGAATGGATGCTGTGGGCACCCAGCTCCCACATAGCATTTTTCTCAAATGCAGAAACATTTTAAGATGCTTCACCCTTCCTATTCTCAGAATTCCCCAGCCAGCTAAAGCCACGGATCTTAAACGTTGCTGAGGTCGAGAAACACTGAGTTAGACGTTGCAATAAGCTTGTTTTTGCTCAATCGTGGTTTATCAAACGAACTGCCATCAGCTGGGTTCATCCAATGCTCTCGGGCAAAACTGAAGGAATAGCATTGGATTTTGCACAGCGTGTAACCCAGTTAACATGCATTTTTTTTAATGGGAGAACTGGAATTCTTTTATCTAAAAGCAGGCTCAAGACTTTTAATAGGTTTATTGAAGGATGGATCTGGTCCAATTACACTTGGCCCATAAAGAATCCCATTCTATTCTATTCTAAATCCCAGTTTTCATCCATTATAATTATGGATGTGCAGTTACTTGACTTATGACCAAAATAGGAGGTGGAAAAATTTGCCACACCCGATTTTACCAGCTATTTTACTATGGTCATTAAGCAAATTGCCGTGGTTGTTAAGTGAGACATCACATGCAACCTTCTCCGCTGGCTTCCCCAGTGACTTTGCTTGTCAGAAACCTGCTGGTCACAAACGGCAATCATGTTGGTGCTGTGACGATCATCGATATGTCAGGTGCCTGAATTTTCACACCCCGAGACTACAGGGACACTGATGGCTGTAAGGGCGAGGACTGTTTGTAAATTTTTAAAACACAGATGTAACTTTGAACAGTTAACTAAATAAATCATCATCAACTGAGGGATGCCTGCACATCAGATCTGAATATAATATCTGGGCATATGGACCGAAATTAAATTTAATCAACATTATAAATTCGCTTCACACAAGGCAATCCCCTTTGCAGATTGGCTTGGGCTTCAAAACCATCATCTCTATCAGGGGCCTCCAACATGAGCGACTTTAAGTATTGTGGGCTTCAATTCCCAGAATTCCCCAGCGAGTTCTTTTAATTTCAGGCCTTTTCCCAGCTGATCGTTCGATTATGTACCATCAAGTCAATGTCAACTCTTAGCAACTCCATAGATTTTCTTCTTCTCTTTTTCTTGGAGAGCCATTTGTCTGAAATAATATATGGTCTATTTCTGCCGGCTGCCGGCAATTTGAGCCTCACCGGCTAAAGGTTGATTCAGCTGAAGTCGGTAAAATGAGGACCCAGATCATTTTGAGGGCAATAGGCTAACTCTGTAAACCGCTTTAGAATGGGGCTGTAAAGAGCTAAGAAGCGGCACATAAGTCTTGAGTGCTACCGCTATCCTCTGGGACACCACAACCGTCATAAATGTAAATCAGTTGTCAAGCATTTGAATGTAAATCATGTGACACGTTGCCGCAACAGTCGTAAGGGTGAAAAATGACCATTGATCGCTTTTTTCCAGTGCCGTTGTAACTTTAAAACAATCACAAACTGAACTGTTGTAACTCCTGGACTGCCTGTACACATTAACATTTCAATTTGATTAGTAGAACCAAATAAAGTAGAAATGTTAAAAAGATCCAAAAGAGGCCAGGGTAGCTGGGGAATTCTGGGAGTTGAAGTCCACAAGTCTTAAAGTTCCCAAGTTTGGACACTCCTGGTCTAGGCCATCTAACCATTGGAAGCGCAGTATTGTTTACATCAAAACAATCAGATACAGGTAGTGCTCAACTTATGACCACAATTAAGCCCAAAATTTCTTAAGTTGCTAAGTGAAACCTTTGTGAAGTGAAATGTACCCCCATTTTATGACATTTCTTGTCACAGTGGTTAAGCGAATTACTGCAGTCATTAAGTTAGTAACACAGTTGTTAAGTGAATCTAGCTCCCCCCCATTGACTTTGTTCGTCAGAAGGTTGCAAAAGGGGATCATGTAACTCGAGGACATGCGACCCTCATAAATTATTGCCAAATCTCCGAAGTTTGATCATGTGTCCATGGGGATACTCCTATGGTGTTAAGCATGAAAAACAGTGATCCGTCCCTTTTCAGTGTCATCGTAACTTTGAGCGATCCCTAAATGAACTGTTGTAAGTCGAGGACTACCGGTACTGGACCGGCATAGCCGGTCACAATGCAATCTGCAGTTTGGCTGAGACCCCCACAGTCACACTGAGGGGAGGATGCTATGCCCCATTTTGGTAAGCGATAGCAATTGTCGCTGATGGCCCATTGATGAATGTCAACTGAATTTTATTTTATTTTATTTTATTTTATTTGATCCCAGGGATACCCCAAGTATGAAAACCGAAAAGGAAGCTGCAGGCAGCCCCACTGCTGAATCTGAGGGGAGCCTCCAGCTGGTTGTGACCGGGATTGTGGGGGAGGATTTGCCCGTAGCGATGCCATCCCAGATTAAAATGGAACCGGAAGAAGGGCAGGTGACCACGTGGGAAGACCGATGGCAGAATTTCCTTAAAGAAGCAGAGTCCTCTTGCTCCATGTGGGGAAACACCCCACCCAAAGGCGACTCGGAAAGCCACGGGAGAAGGATCGTCACCATCCCGCCCGGCTTCCAGCAGGACGAACAAACCATTTCCGAGGAGGCCCACCGCCAGCACTTCAGGAGGTTCTGCTACCAACCATCCGAAGGTCCCCGCATGGCTTGCAAGCGGCTGAAGAAGTTCTGCTGGGGGTGGCTGCAGCCAGAAAGACGTACCAAAGACCAGATCCTGGAGCTGGTGATCCTGGAGCAGTTCCTGGAGATCCTGCCGATGGAGATCCAGAGAAGAATTCGGGGATACGGAGCGGAGACATGTTCCGTGGCGGTTGCTCTGGCGGAGGAGTTCTTGCTGAGGCAGCAAGAGGCAGAGGAGGCAGAAGAGCAGGTGAGAAGGCAGGTCATTCTTGACATACAATAGTCCGTTTAGTGACCGTTCGGAGTGACAACGGCATTGGAAAAGTGACCTATGCCCGTTTTTCACACTTACACGCGTGGTAGCATTCCCACGGTCATGTGATTTACATTGGGATGCTTGGGAACTGATTCAAGGACCTTCCTAGCCAGGGCTGCCACCTGCCCTTCAAATAGGAGTTTTGAGTCCAGGAATACCCCCCCCCCCCCCCCCCCAGACTATGCACCATTCTTTATGACCCATCCAAGGTCATATACCCCCCCCACCCACCCCCCGATGACACCCAAGTTTCTTTCTAACGCTAGAGGTGTTTTTAATCTAATTGTTCATGTTTAATATTCCGTAAGGCAAAAATGGCTGTGAAAGTTGGACCATAGGAAAGGCTGAGCGCCTAAGAATTGAGGCCTTTGAACTGTGGTGTTGGAAAAGACTTTTGAGACTTCCATGGACTGCAATGATCAAACTGATCAGTCCTCGAGGAGATCAACCCTGACTGCTCTTTAGAAGGAAATCAGATCCTGAAGATGAAACTCAAGTACTTTGGCCACCTAACGAGAAGGAAGGACTCACTGGGGAAGAGCCTAATGCTGGGAACGATTGAGGGCAAAAGAAGAAGGGAACGACAGAGAATGAGGTGGCTGGATGGAGTCACCAAAGCAGTAGTTGTGAGTTTAAATGGACTCCAGAGGATGGTAGAGGACAGGAAGGCCTGGAGGAACATTGTCCATGGGGTCGCGATGGGTCGGACACGACTTCGCAATTAACAACGACAAGGCAAGAACAAGAATTGAAGAAAAACACCTTTGAACAACACAAATCAACAATAGTTTTCAAATAGCACTAAATTTATCAGAAGAGAAATTATTATTGTTACTTACTATATAGCATCTGTAGTGAAATCTGATAAAATTAGTCTCTATTTGAATTTTAGCAGTGACTTTGCCTGTAAGAGCTTATCTCAGCATGCCAATTATCCGAGAATAGATGGTCTGAAAAGTTCCACTTTTGAGCAATTCTTCATTTTGCAACCATGGGTAAAAAAATACAGTGAAGTCCTTTTTGTTTAGTTTCAACCTATCGCCATCCAAAAGGTGTAATAATCCCAACTCTCAACATTCTAATCTTCTGTCATTGTTTTGTTTGTTGTTGTTGTTCTTTTAGGTCTCAAGTCCAGCTGATGAACAGGCTGGAGATTTCTGTGATTCTGGAGAGCCTTCGATGGGGACCCCAGAGAGACCTCCCTATAAAGAGATGAAACTGGAGGGAAATGAAGACGCTTCCTTATTAGGTCAGTATCTTCTGTTTCTTCAGCTCTGGGTGTTAAGAAAACCAAATACTTCATAGAATCCTTTTTAGTGTGGTGATTGAACATGCATTCTGTTTAAAGTGTGCTTGATTCTTGGCTTCCAATTCCTGGATATATATATATATATTTTGCAATTGTCAAACCAATACATGTTAACTTATCTAGTTAACTATGGGCAAGAGGGTTAACAATTTCCATTTTCCTCTTTTTAATTTTTATTTTAAAAAAATCTTTCTAGGTGGCACAGATCATGGCAGAGGATGCCACCTAGGGGCATGACTCACATTTTGGGTTTGCCCTGTGTGTATTCTGCATATGTGTTTTATTTATGCTACTAACTGATAACCCAGGGTTATCCGTATATTTATTTATAGGGGGAAAATGTTGGGACCAAACGTAATTTCTAATGTTAGATTTTTCCCCTTATCTCACAAGGAGCCCCCTTGTGGAGTACTGTGAAGCCGTTACCATGGCAATTCCACTGTGCTGTACAGTAGAAGCCTTTTTAAAGCACAACAGGCTGTATTGTAACAGAACAACCCCCCCCCGCCCCCCCCCCCCGGTGTGTTACCCCACAGTATTTGTTTTCAGAGAGTAAGTCATCTGTATACCAAGTTTGGTTGAAATTGCTTGAAGTGATCCACAGTTATGCTGTAAACACACACACACGGCCCCCTCATACGTAATTTTGTGTGTGTGTGTGTGTGTAGGCCAGTGTTTCTCAGCCTTTGCAAGATTAAGACATGTGGACTTCAACTCCCAGAATTCCCCAGCCAGCGTGGGAAATTGAAATGCACACAGCTTAAAGTTGCGAAGTTTGAGAAACACTGGGGTAATTGTTCAGTGTATGCTCAACTCTGCATAATCCAACTTATGGTTACAACATTTTACAAATCATAATTCAAGAAGTCCTCAACTTACAGCCATAATGGAGCCCCAAATTTCTGTTGTTAAGTGAGACATTTGTTAAGTGAGTTTTTTTGTCCCACAGTTGTTAAGCGAACCACTGCAGTTGATAAGTGAGTAATCTGGTTGTTAAGTTTCCCCATTGACTATACTTGTCAGAAGGTCGCAAAAGGAGATCACATGTCCTTGGGACACAGCAACTGTTATAAAGATGAACCAGCTGCCAAGCACCTGAATTTTAATCACAAGATTAAGGGGTTGCTGCAAAGGTCGTAACTGAAAAATGGTCATAGGTCAAAAGTGCTGTTGCAACTTTGAACGGTCACTAAGTGAACTGTTGTAAGTCAAGGACTACTTGTAATATTGACATACCGTATTTTTCAGAGTATAAGACGCACCAAGGTTTTGAAGAGGCAAATTTTAAAAAAAAGTTTTTGCACTCTGCAAACCTCCCAAAAACGTCCCGTTTTTCGCGAAAATGGGCCCGTTTTTTACCCCCAAAAAGGCATGAATAGGCTTTAGGGGGCGTGCAGAGTGCTGCTGGGGGCGGGGGAAAAGAGCAAAAAAGGTCCACATTTCACAAAAATGGGCCTGTTTTTCGTAAATAAAAGGGTATGGATAACCTTTAGGAAGCTTATAGAGGGCCCCTGGGGGCTGGAGGGGGGTAAAATTGAGCAAAAAACAGGCCATTTTGTGCTCATTTCTGCCCTCCCCAGCCCCCAGGAGCTTTCTAAAAGCTTCCTAGAGGCTCTGCACGGCCATCTTGGTGAAGGGGGCGGGGTTTCAGGAGGCAAAAAAATGCTTTATTCAGTGTATAAGACACACCCAGATTTTCAGCCTCTTTTTTGAGGGAAAAAGGTGCGTCTTATACTCCGAAAGATACGGTAAACCCTTTTTTAATCTTTAAAGGCTTAAATTAGCTAAATCATGAGAACGTTCATAATCTGTATAAATGCTACTGTTGCCAAACAATATGGTGTGTTACTTGCGTTTTACAATAATTAGAGTATTATAACGTTGTACATCTCCCCCCCCCCTTCTAGAAAGCGACCAAGAGATGTATCAACCTATCGAAGAAGATCAGACAGACGCTTTCGACAGATCGGAGATAGAAGATGTTGTCATTGACTACCCCGAAGAAAACGAAACACAGAACTCAAAAGAGAGCGAGCTGGACGGGGTCAACCTCTGGAGGTTCACTGTCCCGCCAAGACAGCACAAAGATGGGCCACGGCACACCTGCCTCCTTTGTGGGAGAGCGTTCACCCGAAAATCAAGCCTGAATAGACATCTCATTATTCATACTGGAGAGAAGCCCTACAAATGTGCTCACTGTGGGAAAAGCTTCAACCGGAAGACCAACCTGCTCTCCCACGAGATGGTTCACGCCAGAGACAAGTCGTATCAGTGTTCGGACTGTGGGAAAAACTTCAAACCGAAGTGGGGTGTCAACGCCTACCAGATCGACCACACCGGGGAGAAGGTTTACAAGTGCATTTCTTGTAAGAAGAGCTTCCGGCAGAGAATGGAACTGGGGAGGTTGTTGAACGGGCAGAAGAAGGAATCCACCGCGGGACAGTTGAAAGGGGAGTGGAAAGATGGAGTCTTTGGCCCTCTAGAAGAGCGCGAGAAAGAGCCGGAAGGCGAGATCACCGAAGAAAAAAACGTAGCCGTGATCAGCCCGTACGACGACCTCGATAAAATGAACAGCTCGCCGATGCTGTATAAGGGAAGGCAGGGGAGCCCCTGCCCGATTTGCGGGAAGGTCTTTGCCACGCAATCGAGTGTGAACCGACACAAAAGGATCCACACGGGAGAGAAGCCGTATCAGTGCTCCGACTGCGGGAGAAGCTTCAACCAGAAGACCACCCTTCTAACCCACATTGTGATCCACACCGAGCAGAAGCCGTATCAGTGCTCGGAGTGCGGGAAGCACTTCCGGCATTCCTCGGGCCTGTTGGTGCACCAGAGGATGCACACGGGAGAGAAACCCTACAAGTGCGCCATCTGCCGGAAGAACTTCACCCAGCGGGCACACGTGGTCAAGCACTTTGTGAGAAAGCATGCACGAGAGAAGCCGTCGGCTTACCTTTCTCAGTCCCCCCAGTAGTGGCGGCAGCTGTAACAGGATGCCACTCTTTCGCTTTGAGTTTGGAAATTGGTTTCTCTTCAGGAGAAACCTCCCCTCTTTGGGGTCTTCACAACTTTGTCCCCTTGTAGTTCACAGCACTGAGCACTTAAAACCACCAGGCATGCACGACCCGCAGCCTCAAGGTCACAAGGGGTGGGTTGCCTTTTTGCAGAAGAAACGCTCAAATTAAGATCCGAAATAGACTTGACTGTGCTTTCAAACAGCTCCTCCTCAAACTCGGTTTGTGGTGTGTGTGTGTGTGTATGTGTGTGTGTAAACAGCACTGTCTGTTTGGGTCATCAAATACTCTGAAGACAAAGATGAAACTGTCAGCTGCCTCGGCAAAATTGCTGTGCCCCGTGACGTGAAGATTCCCAAAGGCAGTGAAACCGCAATGTGGGTCGTCTTCGCTTACTGACTGCTTCATTCAGTGACCAGTCGAAGTTACATTGGTGCTGAAAAGCTAACTTTACAACTGATATCTGCCCTCAACGGCCTTTCAGTATGCTTTCTCCTGTGCCTGACTTGTTGTTTTTCCCACTTGCTTGCAGATTGGAGAGATTGGAGTAAGATTGCAAGAGAGTAAGCGGACACACAATGGGGGAATACACATTAAAAGCAATGTAGTGGCAATAGCAGCCAGTGTATTCTTCATTACAGACCTGCTTACTCTCTTGTAATCCCTTCCTCTTCAAACTCTCCACTGTGTAAGGGAGAGTATGGGGAGAAAACAGGTCAGGCGTAGGAGAGCTTTCCTACAGAAAACCCTCTTTTCTTCCCCCCTTTACAGAATGGAGAGAGGAAGGGATTACAAGAGAGTAAGCAGAGCACACAATGGGGACTACACTGGTCTGTTTACGTAGCCAGAACCAAGACATTGATTTCAATGTGTATTCCCTATTGTGTGCTTGCTTACTTACTCCCTTGCAAATCCCTTTCTCTCCAATGATTGTAAATATACATGTTCATTCCCTTTTTTTGCTTATTATCCCAGAGGACTGGGAAAGTAGAGAAAAGGGAAACCCAGTGTCGGTCACGTGATTTCCCACTTAGCGGCCGCTTCGCTTCACAACAGCTACTGGTCCCAATTGTGGGTGTTCCAGAATACGGTGGCCATTTCAAAAGAATTTGGCAAGTTTTTGAGCGAATGGGAATGACTGCAATGTATAACTGGTTGTAAACCCTGGCGTTCTTTTGCACTGTAGCTCTTTCAAACGAAATGCTCATTTTTTATGTTACTTCTAGGCATCCCGGAGTGTATGTGTGGAGAGGAGAATGATGAAAGCACCTGTGACATTGTGAACATAAGCTCCACCCCTTTTGTTTATGTGCCAGGACGTCCGCCCATAAGAAAGGGACGGAGCTTGCTCTGCAATGCCTCGACGCCACTTTCGCCCTGTCGATCTGGCTTCGCATCTTAACACTTTTTAATACTTTTTAAACATTGGAATTCCCGCGAGGATTCCGAACTTTTACAGACTGGGAGAATTTTAACAGGCCCATAAGGTTGGATTACAAATGGTTTCCCAGCTGCTGCGCTGGGGGCGTTGCGCCACCTTGGCAACTTGAAGTGGTGGGTACTTCAGCGCGGGGAATCTGCCCTCTGAAATGTTACCTAGACCAGGGGTGGTGAACCTTTTCAGCACCAAGTGACGAAAAGGTGCCACGTGCATGTGCTTGTCGGGGGGCGCGCCCCGGAAGAGAAGCTGCCAAGTGGGAATGCGCGCACTGGAAACCGAAAGTTCACTTCCCGGTGCCTTTTCAGCATGCGCACCGGCCAGCTTCTCTTCCTGTTACTGGTGTGCATATGCGCATGACGATCAACTGGCATGCGCGCAACAGAAATCAGAAGACCAGCTCTTCTGGTTTTGCGGCACTGCCGCGTGTGCAAAAACCAACTGATTGTCATGCGCACATACGCACCAGAAACTCAGAAGAGGGTTCGGTGAGGCTGCGCATGCCCCTTCGGGCACACGTGCCATAGATGTGACCTAGATGTTTTTATTCTTTAGCATCGACTGATTTGGCTGCTGTTAAGTAGGAACTGAATGACTTTTCTACTCCGTCTGTTTCTTAAACCAGCCATCCCATATGTATAGCAAAGCTCCGTTTGGAAAGGATTGAACCTGTTCTGTTTACTTAATTATCATTAACCGTAACCTGATGCTTGTTTTTCATGCTCCTGCTTTGCTGCTGAGAGAGGCTGGAATAGTTGAACTAATTTCTCAGAAAATTTGGTTCTCTGTGGCAACTAAGCGATGGGCACAATCTCTGTCGACGGGGAAGTAAAGTAGAAATATGTTACTCTTCGCAGAAGCTGATTAGAATAAAGCTAATAAGAACGTTGGCTCAGAAGCGACGTCTCTTTCACACATCCAGCGCGAGAATTACCCTGTTTCCCCAAAAATAAGACCTCCAATCGGGCTTTTGAGCTCATGAGCTAAAATAAGCCCTCCCCCCAAAATAAGCACTTCCTGAAAAGATTGCGACACAGCAGCAGCCATGAGGAGACCATGTTCGCCGCCTCCTGCACCTCAGAAATAATAAGACCTCCCCAGAAATAAGGCCAAGGGCTTATTTCAAAGGTCAAAAGAAAATAAGACCCCATCTTATTTTTGGGGAAAACACGGTATTGCAACAAAACTTCCTTCGATATTTTGGCTTTCTTCAAGAGTCCAATGATTGCGATGGCACTTTTTCCAGGCACAGAAATATTCATTGCTATGGGAAAGAGGGAAATACAGATAGTCCACGACTTACACCAGAGTTCATTTAGTGACCGTTCAAAGTTACAACGGCACTGAAGTGACTGACGACCATTTTTCACACTTGATCCTTGCACCATCCCCGTGGTGATGTGGTCTGTATTCGGATGCTTGGCAGCTGACTCACTTTTATGACGGTTGCAGTGATCCCCTTTTGCGACCTCCTGACAAGCAAAGTCAATAGAGAAACCAGATTCATTTAATAACTGTGTGATTCATTGAACAACTGCGCTGATTCACTTAACACATGTCTCATTTAACAAATGTCTCACTTAGCAACATAAATTTTGGGCTCTGGTGTTGTAAGTCAAGGACTACCTGTAATACATATACATACATACACACAAACATATACACCTACATCAGTGGTGCGTTTCAAAATTTTTTAGACCCTCTTCTGTAGGTGTGGCCTGCTTTGTGGGAGTGGCTTGCCAACCATGTGACTGGGTGGGAGTGGCTTGCCAACCATGTGACCAGGTGGGAGTGGCCAACTTGTAAAATGTGGTGAAACTCTTAACAACGCTCTTGCTTAGCAACCAAAATGTTGG